TGTATCTTTTGTTTTATGCCAAAGGCCTTCTTTTTTTTTTTTTTTTAAGATTTTTATTTATTTGTCAGGGAGAGAGAACACAAGCGGGGGGAGCAGAGGGAGGGGGTAAGCAGGCTCCTCACTGAGCAGGGAGCCCGATGCGGGACTCGATCCCAGGACCCCAGGACCATGACCTGAGCCGAAGGCAGACGCCTGACGACTGAGCCACCCAGGCACCCCTTCTCTTCTTCTTTACAACACAGCACAGTGTGATGTTTTTCCTTCCATTTATTACATCTAACATTTTCTGTTCCTTTCAGCGGACCCAAGTCTGTTCTGAACTCTTAGGACATCCCCTTCCCCAAGGTTCCTGCACAGTGAATAACCATGTGGCTAAAGCAGATAGTTTTCCTCAATTAGTGTTCTTTATTGACTAGAGTCACACATTCAAGGAAAGCCCTTCTCCCTAGAAAAATGCATATACCCACATATACACAAAATTCTGCATATATTTTAAGGAGGTTCGAGAGCTCCCTGAAACACATCTATAGATATCAGATTTAAAATCCCTCCAAACACAACACTCCCGCCATAATTCAGGATGCAAAGAAGACCGGGGCCAGGGCCAGCCCAGAGAAAGAGGGGAAGTCTCTGAGTGAACCCATTTTCAGAAGCATTTAGTAAATAGAACTGTCAAGGTACAAACAAGACAGAATCTATAAAATGCATAAATTCACCTGAAAACCAATAAAAGCAATCTTTATATGCTATTATTTTACTCTAACACTGTATTTTGTTTGCCATGTGCCTAAATCCAAGCAATGAGAGCACTCTGGCATGACAGTCACCTTCCACTGAGATCTATGCCAAGCTCTCGCCGACGTGTATAATAAACACAAGGACCTGGGATCTTTGGATTTGCTCATGTGCCTAATATGGGAATGATTTTTTTAAAAAATCTAATTTACTCATGATCTTCACAGTATTCTACCTATGTACACTAGGAGTAGTGAGAGACCCAGAGGCCTCCCTACCTGCCTCTCCCAGAGGCTTCTCCACACTCCTTGGAGCTCATGGGCTTTTGGCTGCTCTCTTCTGGCTCCAACATTTATTTTTATCGTAGTACAGATGTTCTGCCCCATTCCAGCTGGGACACAGCACTCAGTCCCTCCACAGTTTCCATAAGCAATCCACTCGGACCAAGCATCTCAAGACTTTAAGGAGGGATTCTGAGGTCATAAGCGTTCATCTGTGAAACCCCTGGGTCCCTCTCTTCCAACGACCTTTCCAATTCTATTTTCTTGTCCCAGGCTGCCCTGGGAAAGTCAAGTTCTGCTGGCTTTTCTCACATAAAGCAATTCAGCCCTCTCTAGTTTCTACCCCCAAATTTAGATGCCCAAATCTCTAACAGTGCAGTTCAGCAGAACAAAAGAACTCCAAACAACGGGACCCATCTTCCTTAACAGGCAACTGGGATTTTCTTCCTGTTGTATTACTAAATGCTTCCAAATAGTCTTTCCAACTATTTCATGAGTTAGGTATTTTCAAAACCATAGGTTTTATAGGTGAAAATCTGAGGTTTGGGTAAGTTAAGAAACTGCATACATTCACAGAGAAAGAGCTCTGCCAACCTCATTCTCCCTCTCTTTCTCTCTCTTAATCCAGCAATGCTATTTATATTTGGCTCCTGCCCGGTGATGGTGTCAACCTCTTCCCTGCCTCTCCCCTCAGGTTTGATTCCACCATTGAGGACTTTTTCCATCTGCTTCTATTTGCTTTCCATTCACCTTTTTTCAAATGCCTGAGAATCACAGCAAGTTATACAGAAAAATTAACAATTTCATTTTTAGGATAACAGAACCAAGAGTTGGGAAGTCCCTCAGAAGGCATCACGTCCAGACTCACACAACGCTAAAGAATTCGACAACTTCCTCGAGGTGGCCTGTGACAGACCTGGGCGCCCAGAACCTCTACAGCAGACCATCTGGATGTTTGGGGCTCTCTGATTTGACAGAGTTCTTTTTCTGGGGGGGGGGGGGCTAACCAACAGCCTATTTTATTAATGCCTTTGAATAAAAAAAGTGAAATGCTTCATTGTGTTCTTAAAGGTGCAATCTGCCACTTATTCAATAGGGCCCCAGGTCAGAAACTGTGAAGTCAGCCTTGACTTCTCACACCCTAAATCTTAGCAGGCACCCCGAGTGCTGACTCAGTGGGGGATAGGTGTGCCCACATGTGACCGCTCTTCCCAAACCCTCTCATGTCAAAAAGGCCAGTTTGGACTGCGTCTACCTTGATGGTGGAAGTGGGATATAGACTTGCCCCTCAAAGCCAGCAGATCCCAGAATCAGAGTCAAAGCCTGTGGCACAGAACACGGGCCACCACACCTTCCCCAAGGGGTAGACCACACCTTACCAGGAGCGGGTCACAGTCATCAGGGACTGGAGCAGGGCTTTGCAAAGTGAAATAAAAGCCTATGGGCACTAGGCAGGTAATAGAAATGACCAAGATGGGTCACACAGGGAACATGAATTCGTTGCCAACGTTCAAAAATCACTAAATTTTATATAAAAATCCATGTTGCTGGTTTTCTCTTAAAAGAAAATATGTGGGAGCCTTTGGCCTATATTCTAGCATAGAAATAAACAGTTACAGCCAAGTAGGGGCCATCCCTTCAGTAAGGCATGCCTTCTCCAGTTTGCCACAGACCTTACCACTCCTCTTCGAGTTATTCCTGATGCAATTTAGTCATTTCTTACTTGCTTGGGTTGTGATCCTTGGGCCAGGGTGTCCTCACAACTTGGTTTGCAAGGACAGTCCCAGTTTAGGCCTGTGGTCCTCATTAACAGCACCTCCTTTACTCTTAAGTGCCCAGTTTGGACAGTAAATTATAAGGTCACCCTAGGCATAATACACAAGCCACCCCCTCACCACACACACACACACACACACACACACACACACACACACACACACACACA